CAAGTTGCGAAAACAAGGTCAAATAACCTCTACGATGTTCTTCTTTGTTCTTTCCCCTAAATAATGAAAATCTTCTCAACAAAGCTATGACATGTATCAGGTCGCTATAGTCACAATTATCCTTTAGACAGCGATTTAGGCTCCAGATTTAACTTTTTCTTTTACCTTTAAAACATTTTGAACCCTTTAAATACATTATAATTATGGCTGAAAAAATGATAAAGATATAAATTTCAACCCAAACTAGTCGATACTGCTTATATGTATGGAGACTTCAACTTTGGTCTTATTTAACTTCAGGTTGCGCTAGCAATTGTGACTTGAAAGTTTATCTTTCACAAGAATTTACACTTATTTAAACTGTTTATCCATAATTTTCAATAGATTTTCTAGATTTATATTTTATTATTTTTAAGGTCTTCTTGAATTGGATCGATTATACCTGAATAGTCCTCATTTCTTTAGTGAACTCTTTGCTTTTATCTAAAAAGCAACTTCTCAAGTTAGAGAACCCGAGATGAAAACATGCCAGAGTGGGAGGAAAGCTGAGGACCCATTTCTGAATAGAATAGCATAGTGTGTAAATAAAGAAGGGCCTACGAAATATATTTCATCGTGTAAAAGCCTGGATTCTAACTATTTACATTTCTTAGCAAAAATGCATTAGACGAATGAGGATTACTATATTTTGATAAAGTGCGTATACTATACATAAATGAATAGATAGGGACAGAGATAATTATCTATCTAGTTACTTCTATATATGAAAGGCAGACCCATTGTGAATTGATGTAAATATACATAATTGGTTATCGGAAGAGAAGTAAAGATAAAACGACACGGTTTGCTAATGATGAATAGCGGGGCAGCTTGCTAGATGAATGGATGTGTGGTTCGATTGTCTGATTAGTAACCTGGTAGGTGAGACATTGTGCAGGATTATAACAAGAACAAAGCCCCAGTTTGTACATGAATAATAACTTACACTTGCATGAACTATATTAAGACTAGACGCTATCAATCTTGGCCATTGGCAAAAAACTGCCTCCGGCGCCAATAGATTGGCGACAAAGAATATGAGGGAGGGTCGCACTGTAAAGGGGAAGCCAATATTGCATGACGCGAGCAGACGGTATTTTTGTTGGACGAGCGGATAGCCTAAAACAGACCATTAACTGAGCGAAATAGGAGTGCCAGTAAGAAAGGGTAAGAAAAAGGGGAGACGAACGGAATGGAGACGGACAGAAGTTAAGGGGGCAGGAAAATTCGCTTAGTCCTTCGTCTTTGCTTAAGGGAAAGGAAATCAAGCTCTTTAACGCAAAAGCAGGTTGCAGCGAAACGGACCCTAAGGCATACACGTGAAGACCAGTTTTGTGTTGGCAGAAACAGCGCCTTTCCTGCGGCCGAGATGAGAGACTACTGTTTCGAGGGGGGCTAAAGGAGGCTTAGATATGCTTGCGAGCAAGACAAATCGGCTAATGGATAAGCCAATGCGCCTAGTCGAGAAAAGCCGCTTTACTTGGAGACAACAGCAATGGGGAGTAAATATGAAGATCGGAGCCCAAAATAACACATTTTATAGTTGTAACGAGCCTAGACACACAAGTCTTCTAGAGTGCCCATTTTTGCTCTACTATCATTGCTGTTCTTTCTTGATTTTTTACCATTTCTAGTAATTTAAACAATTCAGGTGGTAGCAACAAAACCAGAACAAGATGGTTACCACCATCAACAATTGGTCACTGTTCGTCAGGGGCCAGAGTTATTTCAGAAGTTCTCCAGGATATCTTATTTTTTTCTAGATAGCAGTTACGCTCATGCTCCCCTGCGAATAACAAACTCTATACAGCTTAACAGTCATAATTTTCCTCGTAAAATTATCAATTTGCCTACTAGTCGTACCTTTATAATAACCTTCAGGATCTCATGGAGAAATGGCAATCTGCATTCTTTACTAACCTGACTTATATCCTCTTAACTTTGGTACCTTGTATATAAGAAGAATAACTGGTTTTCGATGAATCTCCTGATATATCATTAGTGCATGTACACTCGTGTAATTAGGAGATTCGTAGAACAATCTAACTGGAAGACGACGGCGGATCCCCTACTAATCTGTTATAGCTTGATTTTTCTGAAATCTTCAGACTGACTCAGTCCTTGAGACAACTTCATTCGGTTCCGGTAAAACCATGCTGAGCTATATTATGTTAAACGTTATTGAACAAAATAGGATTTTCGTCTGAAGTTGCTATATCTGTTAGATCCAGCTCTGATGAGGCCAATTAGGTTACACGGCAAAAAAAGGTGGGCCCTTTTTCACTGAAGCATTAGAAGATGTCTTGAGGGCTGCCCCAAACTAAGCATCCTATAAAAGGAAACTACAAAAATACAATGGAAATCCGCCATCTTCGCCCAGAAAGACCAACCTTTAAATCCCTTATTCACTCATTTTCACAAGCATAGAAGCTATCCCAATGCCACCTATCTCTGTCATAAAAATATCATAGGGATGTATAGCTGAGGACCTATATTTTCACTGCAGCCAGGCCACTGCTGAGAGACAATAAATAAAAATGAAAGTATGATTATAATATCTAAGACGACATTATAAGTGAGCAAAGGCCCTGCAGTCTTACTTTTTCATTAATTTTACTTGGTTTGCAAGGTTGAATGAGCAACTAGGCCGCATATTGTTTGCTGTGGAACTAGGAGTATAAGTCAGGTACCAGTGGAATATTGCTGAAGCTGTTTACAGGCACCAAAAATGGTTGGAAATCAATACGGCCATTATAAATATCGCCGTTATGAATATCAGCATTATACATTTCAGGGAATCTTAATCTAAACAATGGGTTCTATGTCTCGTTTGGTGTCTTTTGGAAACCGAAAAAGGCTTACTTTGGAGAAGTGAAGACTTTTTGATTGTACAAAGAAGTCCTCAGTTCACCGCTCTGCGATCTTGATGAACCCATTCGAAGCTCTGCCTCTCGTATGACCAACACCGTCAGAACGAGAAACCATACTTTATGAAAAAATGCAGCAAACCAAATAAGTCGGTCGAATGTATGAAGACGAAAGGGTCTGGCTCCTGTTATGGTCGCAATATCCTTTAGATTTATAGAAGTTGGTTGACCTCGTCGTCTCAAGTTTGTCTTGTTGTCAGGGTGATTTAGTAGAACGCACCTTGTCCGAAGTCCTCTGCCATAGTAGTTATCATAATTCCCAGCATCAGACCGTGGACTCGGTATATTTTCAACAAGGTCCACGGCTTGATGTTGGTATTTATGGTAACTACTCTGGCAGATGACTTCGGACAAGGTACTTTTTACTAAGTCACCCTGACAACAGGACCAGCTTGCGACGAGGTCAACCCAATTCTATAAATAAGTCGGTTATCAGTGGGGCCAATTCATGAATTCCTTCCGACAAATGTTTTTTTTCCAAATTAATTTCATGTCAAAATAAATCTTTAAGGAATTCTTCTAAACCCAGTTTTACTTTATATACTATTATTTTTATTTAATTTATTTAAGTTTCGTGATTATCACTAGATCTTGAATAGTAACTGCATACAACCCAGGTTGTTCCTGGTAATGAAAGACTGATAGTTGAGGTAGAATTAGCAAAGTCGTTTTTGCTAGAATGCGTGGATAAATTTAGTGGTGATACCTAAGGATCGGTATACTAGTTTTAGCTATCTACTTTATTCGCTTACTCATAAACTTTTGACTTGTTGAGGAAGTGAGCACATCAAGCCATAAAGAGGATACTAAAAATTGGCTGGTATTTCACTTCCTAAGCCATTTGAGAATTGTTTCATTTTAAGTTTAAATCGTTCCTAATATACTTTTTATCACGGTAATGCATAATGATTCATGAACTATACGTAGGCTGGTAATCACCACCACATCATCTGGGGCCTTTTATATTGCATGAAAGTGCCTTTATCAGTTGGCTAGAATAAATCGCTTGCCAACGCAATGTCAAGCACCAATTCCTTTATCTGATAGCCTGAAAGAGGAATCAGATATTTTTCTACAGCAAGCTTGAAAGTATTTTTCGTTGATGAAATGGTTTTCGAGAACCCCAGTGAATCATATATATTAGACATATTTACCATATCTCGTTAGGGTGATGAAGTACTGGTAGTTGAATTTTCCCACAGTGATATGAGTAGACGGTACGCTTCCATGGAAATTCATCCTGGATGAGAATACCTTTTGGGAAGTGAGGCTATCCAAAATTATGTTGAAACGTAAGGCCTACTTATATCATTGTGGGAAAATTCAACTATAAGTCCTTCGTCACCTTAAAAACAGGGTGAGTACATCTCATAACCTGAAAATATGTTTGCATCTTGAGAGTTTCAAGATTAAGTAAGATGGACATGATGAACTATTCTAGCTTACTTGTATAGCTTGGGGATGAGGTCAAATTTCAACAGCCACTAGCTGTAATTCACACCTTTAGCGATTATATAATTTATCAATTTTTTATCCTATCCTAGACAAATCAAAGACAGCATTTAAGTGAGAGCAGCAGAGATTTGGCTTTCAACTGTAACTAATCGTAATTTATTGTATTGGAATGATTGTGATTTTTAATCTTGAAAGTTTTGTTAAGTATGCTCAATTATTTCTAGCAATTTTTACTATAATACTACATGCCCTTGAAGTAAGATTGGATGAATTTATTGTCACTTTTATTTTACTCCCAATATACAACTAAGTGAATTATTATGATAGATATAGTTGTACAATTAGTTTGTCATTTTTATTCTGGTGAACATTTTATCAAGAATAAGCTCCACGTGTCTTTTATCTAAACCTAAAGGTGATTTCATTTGCTTATAATCATGGCTACCATTCCCTTTGTTATGGTATCTCAGATAATAAATCACTTCAAATCAATGACTGTATTGACCTGAGGCTCTCATATATAGCGTAAAAGTAATTCCGTTTATGTTGGAACACCTTTCAGTTTATTTGATAAAGCGGATGGCAAGGGTTTGTAAATTGGCCTTCAAGTTGTGACTGTTGGATCGAGCAAGGAAGAACTTACCTCACCATCCTGCTACTCCGATGGCTCTATGCTGAGCTTTCGCTGATTATGTGATGAACCTTGTCAGAGCCATAAATTATTATTTACAAACAATCACCAAAAAACGCTAAACTAAGTAAGGCGATTGTCGTAAATAATCGTTTCTGGTTCGGATGATCTCTGTCACATGACAAACGAAAGCTCTAAACGGAGCCATCGGGGTAGCAGAACGGTGCAACTAGATCTTTGTCGCACAATCTAACAGACACTAGTCTAAGGCAACCCTCCTTCCATATCCGGTGAGGCGAATTTACAAATCTCCTCCATCCGCTTTCAAACAGAATGAACGATATGCCAGTATCAATATACTAAACAATTATTTAAAACCCAACTTTTCTGCATATTCCGTTTATGTTTATAGCCGGAAGGAGTTTTTGTCCATATTATGTTTTGTAAATGACAATTAGTTAGTTCCATTGCCAAATATTAATGCCCCTTCAGTGGTAATACTGCAACTAAAAGTGCAATTTAAGACTCTAATTGAGTATGACTAGCGAAATGCTTCGTCAATGCTTGAATCATTGAGCTGGATAATAGTGATTTAGTCATAGTTGTGCAATTCCGATTCCCTTTAAAGATAATTTTAAACAAGAGTATGCATAAATACTAAAAATCCAATTAGCTGTATGAACTTTATAAAATCCGATGCATGCAACTTAACTTTATCTAACTAGAGAGTTCAAATAACCTAAATCTTTTTATCTGCCAGTATTGTAGCTTCTGTACCTGGTACAGTATGTTTAGCTACTAGGCAAAGTGCTCTGCCAAAATAATTGTCAACAAGTATTGATATAGTCGTCTTATATATGAAAAATCCAGTTAGAAAATTCCCTATAAGCCTATATCGTGTTGTCTTACATAGTTAATTTATTGTAATAGGTTTTTTCGCACCATACTAAACATTTCCAGATATTCATCCGCCTTGTTAATTCTTTCCCACTTTATTTTTATATCGTACTTTATCCTCAGCCTACGTTGAAAGTTTACCTTTGGCCAATTCACCTGAGGTGTTTGGCCTGCACCCCAATGCTGAGATCGACTATTATTCTTCTGCAGCCAAGGAAATGTGGCTCCAATTGCTCGAACTGCAACCACAGACTGGAAACCAATCAACCTCTGTCAATCGAGACGAACTCATCAGCCATGTTGCTGATGACGTGCTTAAGGCGTTGCCTGCTTGCTTTAACGGGGAGGCTATTCGAAAACGATATCAAAACGAAATGTCGCCCACCACAGTGGTACTATTGCAAGTAAGCGAAGCTAAGTTGTTGCCTAACTATGGAGCTGTATTGTGGGTAACCTGGCCAAGTCTTAGGTCCTAAAATATATTGATGTGGCATTGTCAGAGATAAGCTTTTAAAATTTTACTATGATTCGTTGCCGGCAAGTACCTAATTCATTAAATTGCAAGAAGCAGCTATAATTTTGAGGATTTGAAGAACATTTTTAAAGACATATAAATGTTTAAATGCTTGTCATTTCGTAGCTCCGAAAGTTATTTGCTCTACCAACATTTATAATGTTTTAGATGATGAATATGAACTTGCATATGCTTAATTGTGTATCTCGTTGTCTACCCCAGGATTGTTTCCTAGGGCATTTCATTCCATCCCCATCTTGTAGGCTCCATATTCATCCATCTATGAATTTGCCCATTTTTCTTTGTTTTCCAGTTCTCTATGATATGAGCATTAATGAACTTATTCACATTTATATGTAATTGAACCTAATTTATTTTCGCTTCAAGGCACAATTATCTGCTATGCATTTCCATATTTTTGTTTGTTACTTTGTAGATCTGAATTTTTCGTATCTACTTGTCTGTCTATTTAATTTTCTATCTGCCTGCCCATACTTCTGAGTTTTGCAGCCTGAGTTTGCTTGCATATTTGTAGTATCTTTAGTGTTTCGAGACTACCAGTAAATCATAAATATGAAATGTATTCATCCAATTTCGATTAAGGTGATGAAGGGCTGGTAGTAGAATTTTCCTGCAATGATATGAATAGAGCTGACGTTTGCTTCATTAAAAATTATATGTTTGCTCCATCGACAACCCCACCAAAGAATATGATATGGCAAAAGACCAGACCTTCCTTGAATTTCACATTTGCCCTGTGACCCAAGGGCACTCGTGACCGAGTGGCTAACGTGTCAAGCTCCCATTCTGCACTGTCACTGTTCGACTCTCTCTAAGAGTGTTGATAAGACCGATGCGATGTCGAAACTGCAGTCCACCCTGGATTAGAACAACTATTGGGAAAGCAAGGTTATGTAAAATTCAATGGAAACGTCAGCTCTACTCATATAATTGTGGGAAAATTATACTACCAGTCCTTGATTACCTTAAACAAAATAGGGTGAATACATCTCATATTGCCTATTTGTCTTATATATCCTTATTTTCTTGTTTTTAGCTACCAACCTATATATTTATACCTACGCTAGATTGTCCATTTATCCAAAAAAAATTTTATTTATTTATTTTAGTTTGTATTTTCTTAATGCCTATTATGCGTATTCAAATTCCGCAGCTCCTCTACCTGGCTTTACTTGTAACTAAAACCATTCAACCAACGATGTCTATTTTTCAGTTAGTGAGTAGGCTTTCGAGACTACGAGTAAATCAGATAATAATTGTGCTCACTCTATTTCTTTTAAGGTGATGAAGGACTGGTAGTTGAATTTTTCCACAATGACATGAGTAGAGCTGAAGTTTTTATTACTTCCGCAAATCCTTGCTTTCCCAAATGTTCTTTCCATCCAGAGTGGATTGTAGTTTCGACTTCGCCTTGGTCTTATCAACACTCCTAGCAGGAGTCGAACCATGAAAGTGCAACGAAGTGTTCAATGTGTCGAGAATATACGCTACACTGACATGGTTCGACTCCCACTGTAGTCCACCCTAAATAAAAACACCTTTTGGGAAAACGAAGCTATATGAAATGCAATGGTAACGTCAGCTCTACTCATATCATTGGGGTAAAATTATACTACCAGTCCTTCATCAGCTTAAGCGAAATAGAGTGAACACAACTCATAAACTATACCTAGTCATTGCTATAGAGACCAAGGTGGTGTGGCCTTTTGTTTTGGCACAGTCTTCTTTAGCTGTATAACATTGTTTTGACCTTGTTTTCGAAATTTGGTCGAAGCATCAGGGAGACCTTGTGGAACGTACCTAGTCCCATGTCTTCTGCCATAGTATCCATGATTTCTAGAATTTGACCATTGGCTGGGTTCATTCTCAAACGACTCGCCGTCATCGTTTACCTGACGATACCCACTACGACGCCGGCGAAATGTTTAATAATGGATCTAGCCAATGGTCCAATATTGGAAATCACGAATACTATGGCAGAGAACATGGGACTAAGTACGTTCCACAAGGTCTCCTTGACGCTCCGACCAAATTGTGAAAACAAGATCGAACCAACGCTATATCTAGTCATTGAAAGCTGTGAATTTAAGACTGATAAATTAATTTTTCCACTGTGAATTGGCTTCATGATGCCATTAAATTTCGCTTAGCCTTACTTCTTAAAGAATTACTCATCTTGACTAGGGTGGGCTACCGTTTTATCCTCTCCAAGATCTCATCGCATCTTAATTGGGATCAATACCGGGTCGTAAGTATAGTGACAATGTTACTACTATACAGCCACTGGTGCTACTGGGTCACAAGGCAAATGTGGTATTCAGGGCAGGCCAGGTTCCTTTCAAATCATCGTTGAGCTTACTCCCATTTCGAGTGTAAGTGTTAAGTGAAGAGATTCGAAGGTCGGTTTCACCAGAAGACGACGGGAGATTCTTTTTGACCAGCTGTCGATTGACTTTACTGAAAGATTCATGCGGACACTGTTTCCGAGGTAATCTTCTTCAATTCCGGTACAAAGGTGCTAAGCTTTCGTCCATCATATGCTGAACATCATCAGAGCAAGGTATCATCTTCACAATCTTCAAGCTAACGAGTCAAGAAAACTCACCGGAAAATCCCTAAAAAGTGGTATATATACTCTACATCTGGCTTCTTTGATCAAGTATAAAGTGATTTGATTAGTTACGGTCATAGTCATCTTCAAAGCCTGTGAGTGTGTCTCAACAATTATGAAACATGAGATTCCTCGAAACTCAAATTTTCTTCGCATATCTTTCAAATCACACTCATAGCGGGATTTTATTATAAGCAAGCATGTATTCGCCATTACATTATGTGATATCAATTATTTTCGTTTATAAGTAGGCTTCGAGACAATAATTAATTCCGGCATAGGAATCTAATCACTATATGTCACTAAAATGGATTTATATACTGATAGTTGAATTTTCATACAAAGAAATAGATAGGCTGCCGAATTCTAGGCGAGGTTGAAATTGCTATCCACTCAGGATTCGATAGCCTTTTGGGGGAAAAGGTTAAGTACAATTCACTGGGATCCTGAGACATACTAATCTCATTGTGGAAAAACTTTACCATAAGTCACGAAGTCACCTTAATTGACTTAGGTTAATTACTTTTCTATTTGAGAATTATGAATCCTCCCCACTTATACCTAAATATGTTCATATATTCAGTCTTTATTGTTGTTCGTTTTTCAATAAATTTTATTGTTTGAGATATAACTTTTCACTTGCTTGAATTCGGCATAGTCCTCTTAACATTATACTTCAGGCAATTGTGTAACGCATCAGTGGATCTCTTTTCAGAGTGCATATGTACCGTGAGATGCTTAGGATTTTTATTATTCTGATTTGAGAAAGAATGGGGAATTAATTACAAGGCTTTATTTTGTCCGATAAATTTGTATTTGCATTGCAGTATTCACCTTTTCTAGATCTTGTTTGCACTCTAATCAGTATTCTAATCAGAGACCTGTGTATATAAAGGCAGACGATTCACCCCAAAACTACTCCACTGGCACCATTATGGTAGAAGAAGGTAATGACTTTCAAAACAAATAAGGTCTTTTCTAATAAATATACTGTGCATGAAAAAATATATGTCAATAATATTGATACCTCATTTTTGGGACAATATTCAGCTTAGGTTTGCCTATATCTAGGGAGGGAAGGATCTCTTTGCTTACAATAGCCGAGTTCACTTCTATTTTAAACGAAAGTATGTGATGAAGAGATTCTGAATTCGATCTAACCAGAAGAAAACAGTCTACTCCTCTTAGCCAGCTGTTGGGTGGCTTTACTAGACCATTCTTGTCGATACTGTCTCTCAGGCGATCTCCCTCAACTCAGGTAAAATTTGTTAAGCTTCCTCCTACCATATGACTGACATTATCAGAATAGGATACCAACAAAATAGCTAGCTTGACTTAATTGGAAAAATGAAACTTCGCTCTAATCACTTTCATCATATGGTAGGCAAAAATCTAGCATATGTATTAGATGTAGTTTCGAAAGCCTACTTATAAATGAAAAGGGCTCAGTAACTTTGTAACGGAACTGATGGAGATCGCTTCGGGCACATTGTCAAAAAGAATGTTCCAGTAAAGCCAGCTAAAGCTTGAAAAGAGGATTCCGCCTTCGTCTTCTGTTGGGATCAATCTTCGAATCTCTTCATCTCACTCTCTTACTTCAACTGGGAATAAAATATTTATCTAGACAAGTTCTAATCAATCTTGTAACTTTTAAAGGAAGATACTTTTTAAGTCTAAACATAAATGAACTTTAATATCACTTCTATTCTTTATATTTTGCTAGATTAGCTACCACTTAACTATATTTG